AAAAAACATACAAAAAACAATATTTCCCCCCCCCAAAAAAAAATTATTAAAAAAAAAATTAAAAAGAAAAATTAATACAGCTAAAATAATATAAATAGCAAATCTTTCAACAGAAAATTGTGCACAATACACGTAACACTTCATGCATCACAAAATAAGAACAAATGTGAAATGCGAATTTATAATGTAAACCCAAAATAATTGGAAAAAAGTTAATTATAATGATTAAGAAAATAATTTAGAGATGATAACCCATAAGCTTTAGAAGTATGTTTAAGAAAAAACAATTTAAAATAATTGAAAAGAAAAGCAAGCAATACTAAGGTAACATAAATAGCAAGGTTTTCAAAGGAAATGAACCACACACAATCAATTCAATGCTTCATTCATCACGCAATAAGAGCACATGTAAAATAAGGAATCATAATATAAGCCCAAAATAATTAGAAAATTGTTAATCATGATGATGATAATGATAGCTTAAAGATAATAATTGATCCCAAAAACTACAAACTATATAATAATGGGACAGACCATCTAATTCATCAATAATAACCACAATGCTGAATAAAATTGTATGCAAAGTGCCATTATAAAAAATATAAGGCCAGATCCACAAAACTGAGACGCTTTTAAACAGTTGAAAATTTAATCTCTTAAAATTAGTCATTCAATAACATGGAACAATGTAATATCATATAATATTACAAATTAGAATGGTGATTTCGCTATACCACCGAGTACTTGAAAAAAAGTAGATGTTAAGATCATTCTTCTTGGAATTATGTTTTACTTGTCAACAGCATCATCACCCTAACTATTTGTATTTTAGTAGTTCTCTTAACTATTTTGTGTTTTAGTAGTCCACTAAGTTATTGGTACTATTTAGATAATCTTCCCAGGCAATAACAGGTGAACCTCATACATGTAACTACAGAAGAGCATCACAAACGCTTGTCAAAAATAAGTCATGATATATTTGTTAACTGTGGTTCTCTTTCTTAGGTCATAAACACCTAATTAACTGAAACAAGTATAGCCAAATTGGCAGAATATGGAACCTAATCTCATGGGATTCAGTGTTAGCTAATTTAACTGTTTATAAATGTGAAAAATAGTACTATGACAAGATAAACTGGAGGATAGGACCCAAATAAATAACAATTTCAGCTGCTTTCTCTTGTGCTAACGCACATATGCAAGCAGTCTCGAATGCAAATGCCAAAGTTAAACCTTAGAAGCTGTCTTTTATGAAGACTAGTCGTATTTGCCAGATATGAATATTAAAGCAGAAATTACTACATGTATAGCCATCAAGTTTCTAACAGTTACAAAATATGTAAAGCAAACAAATTTACTCAGAAGACGTCATTAATCAGAAAGAAGAAAATACAGGGTTATTTAGAAACAGTTCAAAGATGATTTCAACAAAACACATTGACTAAAAGAACATGTATCACAATAAGGAATAAACAGAAACAATCTATACTAATAAAACATCATTATCAGAATTTGATAAAACAAACATGAATATAACAATAAGATACAGTATAAAAAAGAGATAAAAACGCTAGTTAAAACCAAATGAATATAAATTTCTTAAAATAAACACCAAAAACTCAAAAAGAATTATGATACCTTGGTATCCGTATCCATCTTTACAGGCTTTTCTTCACCCTCTTGTTTGTCATTTTCCACAACAGAATCATGAGCTGTGTTCTTAGAATCAATATTAGCATCAGGTCCAGCTGAATCATTATTAACTGCTTCATCTGTGTCCATTTTTGTATCTTCTTTGCCAGTTGCACTCTCCATTGCTACTGGAACATCTACTTCTTCCTCCTCCAGTAACTACCAAACAATATTTTCATAAAAGTATATCACAGGATGAAGAATTATTATAAGAAAAAAAATTTAGCCAAGGCTCCAAGACTTACAGTTGCAGATTCAATAGAGACAATTCCATGCAAATTCAACCTAACTTTAACCTTTAACTTCGCCCTTTCACCACTAGAAGTTCTGAAAGGTCCAATCTGTTAGGATAATGAATATGTCAGTAAAGATGCAGGTCATATGGTCATATATATATATATATATATAGACACACACACACACACACACGGATCTAATACAATATTTTTTAGAAATCAATGACTAAATTTTCATACCGTATATGTGCTGATCTTGGGAGGCAGAAAATTATCATTGACACTGGCATATGTGATGTCAACCGAGAACGTATTTGATCTAATAAACGTAAGAGCCTTGACACTAGGAATAGGGTTCCCTTTGGGAAAAACAACTACACTTTGCTGAGCATCTAATGCTTCATTCTGCGAGTCATTATTTGAACCTTTCCATGACAGGGCAACTGTGAAGGGAAAACTCTCATGCACCTTCACAATAGAAGCAAAGAAACCAAATGAGCCCTTAAAGTGGAACAATTAGCAATTCACGTGAACATTGAACAGGTAAGAGAAGCATTGTTTAGAGATCATTGTATTTCTCAAGCAGACCATCAATAATTAAAAACTCTACAGCCAAACTGAGCAAACTATAAAAGAAATCACAAAGAAGATGAACAACAGAAAAATCTGAAACAATATGCAACTTGCAAAAACCTCCATCACCAGAAAATGTGAAAGTAACAAACACCCATGAGAATTACATAAAGAGGACAATTTCATTTTAATGGCCGCAAACTTATAAAAAGAAAGTACCTGAAACTCCCGAACTTTGAAGGTAGGGCTCAAAATTGCACATTGAAGGGCACAACCACGAGCAACACATTCACTAGCATTCAGTGTGCGCCTTGGCTCCTTGCCAAAGAACTCGGTCAAAATTTTAATAATAGCTGGTACACGAGATCCCGATCCAACAACCTCAACAGAATGAATGTTCTCCACCGTCAAACCAGCTTCCTGAAGAGCATTCACAAGAGGACCCTTAACACGCTCCAGTATCGAAGCACTAATCTTCTCAAACTCCTCTCTCTTAATAAACCCCCTAACATCTTTCTCATCCATCAAGCATTCAATATTCAATGGCGCTTCAGGGTTCGCACTAAGCATTTTCTTCAGCTTCTCGCACGCTGCACTGAGCCTAAGGCGCGCACGAGCATTCTGAAAAACATCAATTTTATATTCATCCTTGAACTTGGCAGCAAAGTATTTGAACAGAACATCATCAAAATCCCTGCCACCCAGAGATCGATCATACCCATGTGCCAATATCTTCAACTGCCCCTTTTTGAAACCCGCAATACAAACCTGCATACTTGCATGACCAACATCAATAAAGGCCACATTAAGCTGATCATTCTCCGGCAAATCAGTCTTATATATCCCATAAGCCAAAGCGGTGGCAGTAGTCTCATGAAACAAACGGAGAGGATGCAAACCCGCAATTGTGGCGGCATCAATCACAGCTCTTCTCTGCAGATCAGTGAAATACACCGGAATCCCAATGCAACAGTCAACGACTGCAGCATTGAGATTGTTCGCAGCAATGCCTTTCAGATTCGAGAGAATCATGGCGAGGACCTGCGTCGGGGTGAAGAACTTCTGCTCACCGAGGTACCTAGCATGGATAAGCGGAAACCCGTCCGGCCCTTCAGAGACAGCAAATGGTAACGAACGAAGATCAAGCTGCAGCTCCGGATCTGAAAATTTCCGGCCAATCAAACGCTTGATCTGAGATATGGCGTTCTTAGGATTCATGGTGGAAGTGGCAGCTCCAGCCGTGCCAATGAAACGCTGCTTCTCCCCAAAGCAAACAATGGCAGGAGTCTCACGCTTGGATTCATCATTGAGAACAACATCCGTTGCCGAGCTACAGCTACAATGCAGCTCTCATTGCCGAGGTCAAAACCTACCACGCTCATCTTCTACCAATTATCTAAACTGATCCCGACATGAAGAAAAAGAGTTATCTTAACAATAACCCATGCATTAGAATTCTAATATTTGCCCTAAAACTATAGCAAAAATTTATCTCTCAACTGATTATCAAAAGAAAAAAAAAAGATTTAGGGTTTCTTCGCACGAAGGACGCAGATAACAGAAAAGGAGATGGAAACGAATTAAAGAAAAACTTTTTAAAAACAAACCTTGATAGGAGGAGCTCTGTGAGGCCGCCGGGAAGAGGGCGTTGATTGATCTCCTGCCGATTGGGAGAGTTTTGCTTTAAAATTGCAGCTTAGAGAGAAAGAGATGAAGAGATCAGCGGGTATAAATATAATCGAGATGGACTTTTTCTAGAACCCTCCAGTCGAAGTGCACGACGACGAGAAGGAAGTCTCAACAGGTCTATGCGCAGGGGTTACCTAAGTAGGATCTGGACCGTCCGTTGAGCGGTCGGCCGATGAGATGGGACTGATGAGATGGTGGAGAGAATGAACGGCTGAGATGAGCTGATTGATTTCGGGGCGTGATGCGGTGATTAACGAAAGCCGCGGATGATTTGTGTAAAAATTTTGTGTTGGGATTTCGGACTAAACCGTATCTGTGGATTTAAATAATATATTGTCACGTGTGTTACATCCTAAAAAATATTTTGAGGTTATTAAAGTGAGACTGCGGAGGTTATTTTATGATTATCGAAGAGATTCATTTATTCCACTTCAATAGCCTGAAATAATCTAGAAATAACCCTGCGATTTCACTTTAATAACCTTGAAATAGCCTCCAAGGTGTTATTTTGAGCTATTGAAGTGGAATCGCAGGGGTTATTTCATGGTCATTGCGGAGTTTGCGGTTTCACTTTAATTTTTTTTTTTTTTTGGGTTTGATATAACACACATTGTGATATATTACTGGAAATTCGCACGTAGAGTTGCATCCGAGGTCTGGATAGAAAATTTTTCCTTGATACGGAGCAAACATGGAGGTTTCTAAATATTAGAATTTACACAATGAAAAAAATATAAAAAAAATGAAATTTACGAACATAACACACAAAATATTAGAATTTACATATTTAACCCCTAAACTTCATTATTTAAGTATAGCACTCTCATTTTCAAAAATTAATGCATTTCCTCACCTTCTATCATAAGTTATATAGTTCCATCGATGCCCTCCTTCTCTAACAACCCAAACTGTCAGATACTCACTAAACTCCAACCCCACAATCATGCACTCCACTTTTGTACAGTATGATTGTCATCTTCTCACCCTTGCAACCTCTAGCGAAGTTTGAGTTTTCAATGAAATAAAAAAAAATTATTGAGTCTCTATTCTTTTGCACTCTCGGTAATTCATTAGTCTTTGCTGAGAGAACAAAAGTCATGACCATAAGAAGACCAAGGAGAATATTTTGGACAAAATAATCGAAACCATTGTTGATGTCGTGCCAAAGTAGAAATCTTGCGGATTCTTCAACGGTGGATCTTCGGTCACTGACAAGTTAAATTACAAGCAAAATAAAAAATCTATAAATTTGTTTTTTTGGCTATACAAGAAGATAACTTCTAACACCTTGGTTGGTGCAACATTTGATCTAATGTGTCCAACATGATTTATCGGTCTCCATCCGAAGTTTCTCAGCTTGTCTTGTCGAAATGAATATTTTGAGAATGTTTTGGTTTATATTGGGGGTTTGTTGGACTTGAAGATGAATGAGAAACTGGAGCTAGGTGTAGGGAGATGTATGTTTGCCGATCTTGAAGATGAAGAGGCCACAAACTTTATTGTCGCCACTATTAAAAAGGTAATGAAGTGATATGTCTTTAAATATTGAAGTTTCGGTGTGGAATATGTAAATTTTAATGTGTCATATTTATGTAAAACGCCTTAAAAAAGACCATGACGATGGTGATGGTGATGACGATGGCGATGGCAGGGGTGACGACGGTTCTAAAGTCGAACATGAATAATTTATTTTTCACTAGTCTTTAGCTCATTTTAGCTCTTATTAATTAAATAATAAATAAATTATATGTAAAATTTAAACTAGTAGTATCTTTGATATTTGATATGATATCAAAGACAAAAATATTTAAAACAAAATTTAGATCTTTAATATTTAAATACATGAGAATTAAGTGTTATGTATGTAAATGCCCTAGAATTTCTTGTGTTTTATATCAATAAATAGCTTTATGAGCCAGTAGAGATATTAATAGGCCTTGCGGGCCTAGAATGCCTATCTTCTCCAAGACTCAACTGTCACATGTTGATTATCAGATTGGCCTATCATGGTGACTTGCCAACCTCGCTAGTCGGAGTGATAGTCATATCCTCTATGTTGACAAATTGGGCTGCCAAGTTAGTCCACTAAGTTCATCCCAACGACGAATCCTCAGAATGAACCAACAGTCGATGTCCAAAGGATCGCTAAAGTACGAACATATGTTTATGTCCATTTACGAGACCTCTTTTGTGGACAAGACTCGTACCGTATAGATATTCTTCAACATTCCTCCTCTTTGTAATTCTGCGATGGTGGTGAGGATTCATCTGGAGTTATAAAAATGGAGACATTCTCTCATTTTTTGAGACATTTGGATCTTTTTCTTCAATCTCTTTCATAAAAATTGAAAACTAGAGCTTGGACGGCTGACATCCATCATTTTCCACCTCTTCCTTCACAAGTATTCTCAAGGCTATTTCAGTCTACAAATGATATGGGACCCGACGTCCTAAAAGGATTCAATATCCTAAAAGGTATGGTAAGCATGGAAGACATACTCAAACCTAGCAACAAGATCAACAGTACCAGGGGGAACAAAGAAAAGTGATGGACCACATTAGAGCATTTGTAATGTAGAATATCAACAAATTAAAACAGTAGATGAAAATGATGATGCAATAAGCCAGGCAAGAAATCTCCAAGATTCTCTCCAGATCCCATGCTAGGATGCACACAAGATCATCGGAATTGGTGGTTTGTAGAAAAGAGCTACCAAAGACGAGGCTATGAAGAGCTCTCTCTTCCCAAGGCTAGAGAAAGAAAATAAATAACATGATGAGTTTAACATTACAGAAGAAAAACTTCCTAAATTTTTAGAAGAGTAAGTAAATGAAAGCAGTAAAAAGAAGAAAAAAAAAAGCCATTAGAGAATGTTTTTTTCAAGAGACGTAGTGGAGGTTAAAGCATCATAAAAATTTAAGATATATATATGGAATCTTATAAATGAAGAATTGACCTAGCTGTTCATGTAGCTTTATTCGAGTTAGTTGTACTTTTGATTACTTGAAAGAACATACTTATGTGAATTAGATCATGTGAATCCTCGACATTCTTTCAATGAGCTCCTCAAAGCAAAGTTGACAATAAGGAACAACAACATTCCTTAAACATCACGTGGTCTTAAGAAATATTAATGTTTCATATTACGGTTTGTTCCCTAACCATGTACAAATTCCTATGTTTTCGTGTTTTCTTGCGCAGTTGCACTACTTTATCAACAATATTTCTATTCTCCAAAAGTAGTGTATGTTAACCTAATTGTTCCACTAGCTTGCTCCTATAATAATATATCACAATTCATTTTAACAATTCAAATGATCAGTTTAGATGTAAATTAAGTTCAGAAAGTTAATGTATTAACATTTATCAAAATCCAACTCACTATAGGGAAATCTCATAGATAAAATGTGAAATCTCATAGAGAAAATGTGATTTCCATATGTCAAAGACACAAAAGTATGAAAGTTTATTTCCTAAACAAGTTTAAGGAAAATAAAGATAATTTTATTGAAGTCTAAAGTAAAATTTTACACAAATAAAACAATCAAACCTATAACTATTCTTCTTTTGCTCCACTTTAAATTATTTTTCTTAAAATGAAACTTCACTTTGAATTCCTTCCCCATATATAAAATAGAACAAAAAACTATTCATTAAACACTCTAAAACACACACACTTCCCAAATATCTCCTCTATATATTGGACTTTTTTATTAAAACCTGAATATTGAACCCACAGGGAAATTATGCAATATGCACTATTGAACAACAAACTTTCTATTCTAAAAAGACAATTACTTAAACTATAGATATTTTTACAGTATTAAAATTAATTCAAATTGTATTAAAATTCAAATTGTTTTGATATTTTTTATATTTTGACAAAACAGTAAAACTTATAAAGATAACTAGAGTTTATGTAAAAGAAAATCACTTGATATGAAAATACATTTCTCCTTATCATTAATCAGTAATAAGCAGAGGAATTCTTTTGTGGGAGTATGCAAATTGTGTTGTGTCAAATAGAAGTAATTATATTTTTTACCTTTACTAGAGATGTTATAAAGAATATTGGCTACTTTAAAGTTTGAATAGCTCTGAAGACCGGCTAGGCAGGGAAGATACCAGCTCTCACTCTAGAGTTCTCTCGATTCCCTCCACTTGGGGGCTAACATCTTGCATCAGAACCTAAAACAATAAACCAAGTTGGGGGCTTAACCTGTCACTTTAAAGTCCTCTAACTCTACACCCTTAAAAAATTATTTCCCTATTTATTTGCACTAAATAATATGAATTACATTCTCATTCATACAACCTCATGTGATTCTTTCCAATTGTTAGCTGAGACAATACCATTCCGGTTCTTATATGTTCTCACAATAAATTTTAACATCTAGATGGATCAGATCAAGAAGTAAATGAAGTACATGGAGTTAAATCATCACAATTTCTTCCAACATTAAAGATTAATACTCTCCACAACTTCATCAAACACTTTAATTACTTATCATTTTAAGGAGAAAGATAAATAAAACTACTCAGAATCCATGGAGAAAACAAAATCACACTTTAGTTTAAAAGTAGAAATCATTGTCTCTAAAATAAACTAAAAACAAAAAAGGATAAAATAAATTTGTGTGGTGCCTGAAAATCTCTCCAAAAATATCTCTCCAAACTCCTTAGAACTCCTCTTCTTCTATATATATTCAAACTCTTTTCAGAACTTTCAAGCACTCACCTTCAAATGTCTCAACTTCCTTATTTTTTAAATTTTTGAAGAGGTGCATCGGAAATTCTTCAAAATGTGTCCAAATTCGATGTATTCTCTAAGGGATGTCTTCTTTCACAAGTCTTTTAATAATATTTTCGTTCCTAGTGGTCATAATCACCCGCTTTAGCCAATAGGTGTTTCAAATGTCTCTTCAAAATTCGGCCAAATGAAGAAAACCGCCAAATAACTACCTCTAGCGCTTAGGCGCAGCCTTCTCTGTTTCACCGGCTTAAGCGCCAAAACACTTTTGCACAAATTTCACATTTTTTCTCCAAATTTAATACTTTTTCACTCCTTTAAGCATTTTTCAACTTTTTTAC